ATTTTTGGGACAGAGTCTCACTCTGTCCCCCAGGTGGCAGGGTAGTGGTGCACTCTCGGCTAACTGCAACCTCTGCCTCTCAGGTTCAAGTGATTCTCCTGCCTCAGCCTCCCGTGTAGCTGGGATTACAGGCACGCAGCACCATGCCCAGCTAATTTTGGTATTTTTAGTAGAGACAGGTTTTCACCATGTTGGCCAGGCTGCTCTCGAACTCCTGACCTCAAGTGATCCACCCACCTCAACCTCCCAAAGTGCTGGGATTAGAGGTGTGAGCCACAGTGCTGGCCTGTAGTAGTTGAATATTTATTATTAATCTACAAGTTGGACATTACGAAAGTCCTAGATATAGGGTCCCCCAAACTTCTAGAACAAGGGCTTCCCCACAATCCTGGCAGGCGAGCCTCCCCTGGGGTTCCCAACTCCTGTCCCCACTGAAGTTTTCACCCCCTTCTCTAATGCCAGCCTCCTGCTCTCTGTCTCCAGGTGCTCCAAGAGATGCTCCTCCTCCCCTCATGCTCCCTCCCCATCCTCCTCCTTTTCCTCCTCCCCAGTGTGCCAGTTGAGTCCCAACCCCCACCCTCAACATTGCCTCCTTTTCTGGCCCCTGAGTGGGACCTTCTGTCCCCCCGAGTGGTCCTGTCTAGAGGTGCCCCTGCTGGGCCCCCTCTGCTCTTCCTGCTGGAGGCTGGGGCCTTTCGAGAGTCAGCAGGCACCCCAGCCAACCGCAGCCGGCGTGGGGTGAGCGAAACTGCACCAGCGAGTCGTCGGGGTGAACTGGCCGTGTGCGATGCAGTCAGCGGCTGGGTGACAGACCGCCGGACCGCTGTGGACTTGCGTGGGCGCGAGGTGGAGGTGTTGGGCGAGGTGCCTGCAGCTGGCGGCAGTCCCCTCCGCCAGTACTTCTTTGAAACCCGCTGCAAGGCTGATAACACTGAGGAAGGTGGCCCGGGGGCAGGTGGAGGGGGCTGCCGGGGTGTGGACCGAAGGCACTGGGTGTCTGAGTGCAAGGCCAAGCAGTCCTATGTACGAGCATTGACCGCTGATGCCCAGGGCCGTGTGGGCTGGCGATGGATTCGAATTGACACTGCCTGCGTCTGCACACTCCTCAGCCGGACTGGTCGGGCCTGAGACCCATGCCCAGGAACTGATCAGGCAGAAAAAGAACTGAACTGGATGCTGAGAGACCTCAGGGATGGCCCAGCTACTCTAAGGACTCCAGTTTGGGAACTCATCAAATAATCACAAAATCACAGTTCTCTGATTTTGAGCTCAATCTCTGCAAGATGGGTGAAACCACATGGGTTTTTGGAGGTTGAATAGGAGTTCTCCCGGAGCAACTTGAGGGTAATAATGATGATGGTAATAATAGCAGCCACTATTTACTGAGTGTTTACTGTTTCTTAGCCCTAATACGTAACTCCTCAGATCAACTCCCATGGATTTGATCGTTGGTGGCCCTTGGCGTTAAGTTGCTGGCTACTCAGTCTCAGAGGACATCACCTTGCTCATCCTGGAGAGTGGGAGGGGACATTTCACGATGGGGGAAGGAGGTGGGAGAGGAGAGAAACTGGAATAAGCAAGCAGATGGCCAGGGGACCTTGAGAATGTGGTCCACAGAAGGCCTTTAAGTATCTGGGAGCTGGGGTTCAAATGGGAAATCTTCCTTGGTGAGAGTGAGTAGGGGTTGGCTTAGAATATTCTCTTGTGAGGTAATGAGCCTGCCATCACAGGGGGAGTACAAACAAGGTTGAATGAGAAGTGATCAGGATGCTGGAGAGTTCGACCCTGGGCGGGGAGCTGGAGTCAGGTTTCTAGCCCTCTTCCCTGTCTCAACCTCTACCCTACATCAGGAAAGCAACAGACCTTAAAATTGTCCAGCTTGATGGCTGGGTATGATGACTCACACCTGTAATCCCAGCACTTTAGGAGACCGAGGCCGGCAAATCACCTGAGGTCAGGGGTTCGAGACCAGCCTGGCCAACATGGTGAGACCCCCGTCTCTACTAAAATTACAAAAAGAAATTAGCTGGGCATGGTGGCGGGTGCCTGTAATCCAAGCTACTCTGGAGGGTGAGGTAGAATAATTGCTTGAACCCAGGATGCAGAGGTTGCAGTGAGCCAAGACTGTTCCACTGCTCTTCAGCCTGGGCAAAAGGAGCAAAACTCCGGGCCGGGCTTGGTGGGTCATGTCTGTAATCCCAGCACTTTGAGAGGCTGAGGCGGGCAGATCACAAGGTCAGGAGATCGAGACCATCCCGGCTAACACGGTGAAACCCTGTCTCTACTAAAAATACAAAACATTAGCCAGGCATGGTGGTGGTGGGCGCCCATAGTCCCAGCTACTCAGGAGGCTGAGACAGGAGAATGGCATGAACCCGGGAGGCGGAGCTTGCAGCCGAGATGGCGCCACAGCACTCCAGCCTGGGCGACAGAGTGAGACTCTGTCTCAAAAAAAAAAAAAAAAAAAAGAAAAAAAAAAGGAGCAAAACTCCATCTCAAAAAAAAAAATCGTCCAGCTTGAGTGGGGCATGAGGTTCTAACTCGCTGGCCCGCTGGCTAGGATCTGGGGGTCACTGTGGACTGAGGGCCCTTGAGTAGGGCCAGCAAAATCCAACAGAAGGGCCCCAGAAGCCTGAATGGGGGAGGAGGGGTAAGTAGGGTCCGGGCCTGGCTGCAGAAGGTAGCCTCAGTTTTCCTTGTCTGAAGAATGGGCTGGTGGGATGAGATAATGGGGATTGAGGAGGCAGAGGCCTTGACCAAAAACTTTTTTTGAGATGGAGTCTAGCTCTGTTGCCCAGGCTAGGGTGCAGTGGCACGATCTGAGCTCACTGCAGCTTTCACCTCCTGGGTTGAAGTGATTCTCCTGCCTTAGTTGGGATTACAGGTGTGTGCCACCATGCATGGCTACTTTTTGTATTTTTTGAAAGAGACAGGGTTTCGCCATGATGGCCAGGCTGGTCTCAGACTCCCAACCTCAAGTGATCCGCATGCCTCAGCCTCCCAAAGTGTTGGAATTACAGGCGTGAGCCACTGCGCCCGGTGACCTAAAGGTCTTTATAGTGAAGAAGTGCCAAGGGAAGCCAGGGACAGACCACAGTCCTTCACAATGGCCCCTCACGTGTTACCCATCACCCCACATGTGTTGCCAACACTCTCCTCTCTCTCTCTCTCTCTCTCTCTCTCTCTCTCTCAGGTCCAGCTTTGAGCAAAAGACTTAGGCATGCCCTCCCCCCATCTATACAGACCAGGCCCCTGGGCGGGCTGGGGCGTGGCTGCCTCAGTTTCTATATCTCCTTGTTTTCCATCTGTGATTTTGGTCTTTTTTGCCACCTTCATCTCTGTCTCTAACTTCCAGTGTCTCTCACCTCTGGGTAGGACTAATAGCTCCCTTTCCATCGTGGTCTCTTTCTTCCTCCCTGTCTCTCCCCTTTCTTGTTGAATTTCTTTCTCACTCATCAAAGCTCGTCTTTTTCACTATGTCCCTGTGCACTTCTCTGTGGGTCCTTCCTCTTCCCCGACCCAGCCTACCCCGTTGGAAGTTTTCAACCAAATCAAAGGCAGGTAGGACAGCCAATGCCAGCGCGCCAGCGCTGACTCTTTGGCATGTGCGGGAAGGGTTGGGGAGCCCCGGGAAGTCTACCCCAGGTGGGCAGGTATGGCAGAGGAAGGAAGCAGCTGGGAGGTTCTGGATGCTGGAGCAAAGAGGGGTGTTTCTCATGGATGTCCTGAGGTGCTGGCTGTAGTGCAGGGGTCTCTGTCTCTGTCTGGATCTCTGACACCCCCAGGTCTCTGTCCCTCTTTCTGGGTCTCTGTCTCCCCCACCCTCTGCGTCTCTGAAATCCTGAACTTCTCCGTCCCCTACTGCCTGCCTCTCTTTGACTCTCCATCCCCCTCCCCGTGTTTCTCTGTGCCCCTCTTGGGGTCCCTGTCCCTCTGTCTCTGGGTCTCTTTCTCACTCCATCCAGTCACGTGCCTGCAGGCCCTTCATTGGCTGGATTCAGAGTGGCGGGTACTGACACCCGGGGCAACAGCAACAAGCCAGCTCTTGCTTGGCTACAGGGAGGGGGAGGAACCATGGCCAGTGGCACCCTGGCTCTGCGCTGTGGCCCCCTGTGGTCTTCCATCTCTGCAACCGAGGTACCTGGATCCTGGCCCAGCTGGCATCTCACCAGCAGCTGCCTTGCCCACCGCATTATCCCACCACTGCCCTTCACCCCGCCCACGGTGCAGGTGAGCAGACCCTAGGCTGAAGCACTGCAGGGACTGGATACCCAGAAAGCTGGGGGCTGAGAAAAGCGGATTGGAAGCTTGGACTCCTCTCTGAAGGAGGGTCCTGCAGTCCTGGGTCTGAGAGAGGAGGCACCAGGGAAGCTAAATGCCAGGGACTGTAGAGGAAAGGGCTGGGGGGCGACTGGAAGAGGTCAGAGTTTGGGGTGGGGGGTGACACGGACTCCTGAGTCTTTCTAGCTGATGTGCAGCGCCTACTCTCCAGTCCAGGGTCGCGGACCCTCTACCCCCGGCTGCAAAGCAGGATTCTGGCATCTGGGCTTTCGACGAGGTCCTCAGCAGATGGGAGACAACCTCTGGCTCGGCCTAGGTGCCCAAGACCCATGGAGGGCCCTGCACCCAGCCCAGAGCCCCAGAGCCTGCAGACCCCACGCCGACTGTGGGAATCAAGGATTTAGGAGAAAAGGTAAGGTTTGGGGAGTGCCTGAGTCCGCGGGGGACAGGGCGGGGGACTGCATTTGAGTCCCCTGCGCCTTCACATGGGTCTCCGGGTCGCCTTTCCCCAGCTCAGACGCCGTGGCTGACCCCTACCACTGACCACGACGTACCAGCGCAGCGAGACGAGGGCGCAGTACACTGGCTCTCCCGATCGGGACGCGCGAGTCTCCGAATACGTAGGGGCCCAGCCCCCACAATGCCCAGACCTCCTCCGCGGGGGGCCTTCCCAGGTGACGGGGTGGAAGCCGGCGCTGGCGAGACGGGGCGGAGTTCCGGGAGCCTGGGGCGGGGCCAGAAGAAATCACAGCCTTCAGGGCTCCGAAGCTGCTGCGGGGCTAGACGACGGGCTGTGGGTGGGGACGAGATTAGAATATTCTGAGACGGCGTCAGGTGGGAGCTGGGAGAGGTAACGTGGAATTGTTGCTCAAGATGCAGCTCCGCTCAGCTCCAGTGGCCACACCAAGACGGTTTAAGACCCAGAGAGAAACCGGGGAGGGGGGTTTGTGGTGGCTGGGGGCCTGGGTTTGAGTTCCCTGACCAGCAGGACGTGCTTGAACTTAGGGAAGTGAGGCTGGGAAGGGTTCGGGTTTGAGGAAGGAGGCTGAAGTTCCCTGGCGTGGGTGGCAGGAAGGGCTCTGACTCTGGGGCGGGGTTCTAGGACCGTGGCCCTCATGGCTGTCGAGGCCGAAGAAGAAGGATTCTGAACTGGGGACCCAGGGCTTGGAACGGGGTATGAAATCTATGTCTTGGGTATGCCTCCTCCCCCAATCTTGCTCGGGCTCTAATCGCCTGGACGAAGAGCCCTGAGTTGTCTGGCCGACCTTTCACAGTATCCGACCGGGGCGTCCTGGACCGCCGCCAGCTCTATCTGACCACCTCGGCCCGGCCCGGGACTTTCGGTTCTATCCCAAGTAAGCCGGGCTCTCGCTCCTCACCGCCTCCTGCACAGCACTCGCCTTGGCCAGTACACGCCGAGCCTCTGGGCTGGCTCCCATTCTCTGACCTGGTGGTCTCAGCCTCGAATCCTGTAGCAGCAAGAACCAAAATTCAGGCCCCAGCCCCTCCCTCTTTTAGTACCCAGGAGGCCTTAGTGTCAACTCTCAGGTAGGGACAGGAAGCCTGCACAGGCGCTCAGGGGGATTCTGGATCTGAGGACTGGGCCTCCTTCGGTACTTGAGCCCCCAGATACTCCTTCCCAAGGAAGCGAAATCCCGCGTTTCCTTCCGAAGGATGCGAAAGCGTAGTTTCCAGGACCTTAAGTACCTCGAGGACCCAGGAACACCGGCTACGCACGCCGGGTCCCGTCCTTCCTAAGGGGCCCTCGCCTGGAAATGCAGGAGTTTGGGTGTGCAGACTCCTTAGATCCCGAGGTCTGAACCTCGTCCCCAAGGATTCAGCTGTATCCTCACCATCCTGCCCTGCTCCCACAGGAGCTGTCCGGATACCCCCTCAAGGACTCCCTGACCTACTGGAGCTTCGAAGGGACTCCCTAACTCTGGGGTCACGACCCGCAGCGGCCGCCCTGTTCGCGCTCCTCCCGGCCGCCCCGATCGCCGCACGGCGGGGTCCTGACTCTGGTTCAGGCATCCTACAGCCCCTCGCTGCACCCGCTCCGCCCGCTGGACCGCTTCCGCCCGCTGGAGGCGCCCTGGGGTGGCCCCCACTGGAAGCCCTTGCCAGGCATCCACAGCGTGCCGAAAGCCTACAACACCGAGAACTCCCGCTCCGGCAGCTTGAAGTCGGCGCTAGGGGGAGCCGGCCGGGCCCGCCCCACCCCAGACACGTCCTCTGGCCTCGCGGAGGAGCCAAGCTCCGGACCTCCGCCCACTACGCGGTGTCCGGACTTAGTTGGGCTACCACTCATTACGTCTACCGGCAATGTCGGGGCCGGACTACCCCAGACACGCACACTCAGCTGCGGCATCCCGGAGAAAGGACTAAGTCCAGATATTCTCCTCGAAGACTGTGGCCCCGCGGGCAGGACGCGCCCCCTGCGGGCGTATTAGATAATGAGTTAAGTTACCTGAACCACACGCATTTCCGGGGACCGCTCCGGGCATCCTAACTTGAGGGCAGGGTGGGCGGAGGTCCCTAAGGGAGAGGTAGGTCTCTGGCTGAATCCCTCGTTGGGGGGCATCTGGGTCAAGCGGCTTCCCCGGCTGCAAAGTCACGGGGAGGCCCTCGCGGATTGGGCAGGGGCTAAGTCCGAAGCCGCGCCCCTCCTGGGAGGTTGGACTGTGGCGCAGGAATGCCTTAAATGGAGGAGGGTTGAGGCTTCAGTCCAGCACCTTTCTCGGGTCACGGCCTCCTCCTGGCTCCCAAGACCGCACGATAGGCAGAGGCAGGTTTTCTTACACCCTACGCCTGTGTCTCCAACGCCGACTAGACCCTAGCACTGGACGACTGAGTCTCTGAGGTCACTTCACCGTGGTCTCTGCTTCACTCTTGGCGCTGGACCACTGAGGGGAGAGGGCTGGGACGCCCCGCTGAGCCACTCCTGTGCCTCCCTGGCCTTGTGCACCTCTCAGCCCCCGGGGTGTTAGTGTCGAGGTCACCCCAGCATCCTACCACCTCCTGGTGGCCTTGCCGCCCCCACAACCCGAAGGTATAAAGCCAGGTACACGAGGCAGGGGACGCACCAAGGATGGAGATGCTCCAGGTAAGACTGCAGGGCCCCTGGGCACCTTCCACCTCCTTCCAGGCCATCACTGGCATGAGAAGGGGCAGACGAGTGTGAGCTGTGGAAGGAGGCCTCTTTCCGGAGGGGCGTGACCCCCAGTAAGCTTCAGGTGGGGCAATCCCTGAGGGTGGGGATCTGAAATGTTGGGGTATCTCAGGTCCTCTGGGCTGTGGGGTGGGCGCTGAAAGGAAGGTGTCTGGGCGGTGGGTCCTGACTAGGAGATGCCGGGAAGGGTCTCTGGGTCGTTGCTCGTGGTGTACCCAGGGAATGGGAGGGCCAGGGCACGGGGCTGCGGTCTCAGATTGGGCTGAAACAGTGTCCTTGTCCCAGGGGCTGCTGCTGTGGCTGCTGCTGAGCATGGGCGGGGCACGGGCATCCAGGGAGCCGCTGCGGCCACTGTGCCGCCCCATCAATGCCACCCTGGCTGCCGAGAAGGAGGCCTGTCCCGTGTGCATCACTGTCAACACCACCATCTGTGCCGGCTACTGCCCCACCATGGTGAGCTGCCCGGGGCCAGGGGCAGTTGCTGCCACCTCAGGGCCGGGTCACAGAGGCAG